ATCAACACAACTTGACGTAGAGACATGATTGGCTAAAAAATACAACGGTTTTTGATACATCGGAAAATCAACCAAAAATCGGAGACTGGGCGAAACGCTCAAGGTCGCAGAGGTATAGGGAATCCCATAGCGAAAGCAACGGAACGATTGTAATATCATGAGGAACTCCGTTCCCATGACAATAATTCATATTAATAAATTATAATGAAAATGAGAAAGAAAGAACAATTATAGAGACTCAAGAACTCTATTCTAGCATAATTTTTTAGTGTTTTTCTCTTGTCCCATAGTTTTAGATGTGTCAATTTTTTCTTTGCTAAAATCCCGTATTACAAGATGACTTCATATCATTATCTTCAATTCGTTGTTCTTATCACGAAATAATGTAACTGCATTTCAAATTGTATTTGCAAATTGTATTTCCACCAGTAGAGAACCATAGGCATTTCTAACTGAAAATTTCACTGATTTTTACCCGAATCTCATGAAAAAATCAGATCAACTTTAGACTAGTCTTGCACATATGCATTTTTTTTTTAAAATTAAATTATTTGAGTCAATTTTGCAACCTCGGATTGGAGTTACGTTCCTTCGTCCCGCAAACGACGAATACATTAAGATTACAAGATTGCACCGCGGAGGAAGGTTGAAAATAGGAGTGATAAGTTTTGGAGTCAAATTTATTTTGCGTTTTCGTCTGCGAGGATAACTTGTTCTACCTTGAATAGTGGTTGTTTAATTTTTTCCACCCCTAAAACTTTAAAATAGTTGCACAGTGGTCTGAGATCTTACGATGTGGTGCGCAACGCTTTTCTTTTTTTCCTTCGTAATTTATAGTAACCATTAAGAGTAAATAGCATCACTCGACGTGATAATGACTGGAAATCCTCTCCATTGGCCGCACGGTGGTGGAAATTGTGAATTTGTTGGATTCTAATTTCTGCGTTGCAAAATAGTACCTATCCAGGGATTTTGAGTTTCAACGTTACGTAAGTAGTGACGGAATGTTTCACTTCCAATTGCCAATGAAACAAGTATCATAATCAATCACTTGCGTTTGAAAAATGCCCAATGTGAAATCTAACTACTTCTTTCGATACTGACAATTTTAATCATCTGTATCTAAATGGAAACGTGTTTTCGTCACTGTGGCGCATGTTTCTTTTGCCTACAGTTTAAGCTCATGATGCTTTTTTGAAATCTAACGTTTTATTTGACAAAGTGAACAAAAATCGAGCATAACTGGTGATAAAATACTTGTCAAAAAGTCCGAATTGATGAGTATGTTTTCAAAGACTGGGTTATTTACGGCAATTTCGGTTTTAAAGTTGCATTGGGATTTTAATCATTTCAATGTGACTGATCAATACTAATATTATCCACGAATTGTTTTAGGAAATTCTCAATATTGTATTAAATTCAATCTTGTGATACTTAGAGCTCCACTCTATCCATCTCACTATAAAAAGACGAATTTTTGGCCGAAAGTTGACGATATATACCTGAGTATGTTTCACAGCCCGAGAATTATTAGTTCACCTACCATTATTAGTGGTGTCGCACATGAACCACTGATTGGTTTAAAAATCTATAGATTATGCTCCGTGAAAGGTCTGGCATTTCCATTTGGAGGACCTTGTTGTAGACTACATTTCACAATTTAACTATAATTTCTGGCTCAGTTTAAAAATAATGTATGTACCATTAGTTTCCCTATGCACAGTTTTAAGGGCATGCTATAGGAGTTCCTAGCAATTCCAAAAGGAATTGTGATTTTTGGTCGCAAAATGTACCTAGTCCTATTATTCTTCTTTTCATTTCGAATTTTGAGAACAGTTTTTTTTTCTTCTTTTCTTTTTTTTCTTTTTTCTTTCTCATCACCCTTATTTATTCATACAGGCCGGCGACAATTTTGGAACAACAGACAACACACAGAACCCACTGTGCTGCGTATCAGTCTCAGCCACAGCATCAAGTGTGCCAAGAGGGTTCGGCAGCTTGTGAGCGTGTGGAGGGGGGGAGGGGGGGCTAGGCCGAGGTCTTTGCGGCCAGCAAATGGGTCGGAAAACGTTTCGCTTTTTCTCGGCCTCGTAAACTTCCCGTTAAGCCCGAAGTCGCTTCCGATTTTTCTCCTCCTTCCTGTTCCGTTTTCTTTGTTCTCGCCCGCGGCCCGCAGCAGACGGGGCGGCATCGAAAGCGAAAGAATTTGGCGTTTCCGGAACTTTCGGAGAAAGTTCGACCGCACCGCGCCCGTCACTGTGTGTCGTCTCATCGCCGAGCGGGGATGAGCTTTTAAGTGACCCACACCGCTGAGTCAAGGAAAAACCCCGTAAGTACCCGAATATTGGCACGTAAGACCTTAAAAATACGATGTTGTGGGAGTCCGGAGGGTCAGCCCGCCTTCAATTCTGTGAGTATGCAACACGCACATTCAGTAAACACGAATTGTCGTATAGCAAGGCGCCGTAAAGTCCCGTTATATTGATACTTAAGACCTTGATAATACGATGTTGTGGGGGTCTGGAGAGTCGGTTTGCCTTCAATTCTGTGAGTATGCAACACGCAGATTCGATAAACTTGAATAATTGTATAGCAAGGCGCCGTAAGTTCCGGTATTTTTAGACTTAGGACCCTAAGAAAACGATGTTGTGGGAGTCTGGGAGTCTGGCCTTCAATTCTGTGAGTATGCAACACGCACATTCATTAAATCCGAATAGTTGTATAGAAAGGTCCCCTTATCTTCAGACTTAAGACCTTAAGAATATGATGTTGTGGGAGTCCGGACGGTCAGTTCTTCTTCAATTTTGTGAGTATGCAACACGCACACTTTGTCAATTAATTTCTAGAATCAACCCGCTGGAAAGTTTTCCCTTCCAATGATTTATTTGAAGGATTATTTTGATGGCATTTTGCAGAAAGGAACCAAGAGCATTCCGATGTTGCTAGGATTGTGCAACTTGCATTCTTTGCAATAAAATTAATGAAAGCATGCAAAAAATTAAAGTATATATATATATGAGTCGCTTTTATAGCGCTCTTTGGCGCTGTGCGACGCCTAATCGCCACAAAGCTCGGTCTTCCCACAGGTCATCAGGGAGTTGACAATCTCTTATCTCATTTAACACCCCCTGTCGCCAACCTCTCACTGGGCGTCCCCTACGTTTTAAAAAAATTAAAGTTACGACGGCAATTTTCCTCTTTAATTTGTAGTAAATTGGGAGTAAAGTCAGAACTTGTTTAGATGATCATTGGATTACATTTTGCAATAAAGAACCAATATTTCTGGCCCATTTTAGAAACAACATACACGCCATTGGTTTCCCTATGCACGCATGTGCTTTTATGGGATAGCCAGAGATAGTGGTTCCTTATTGCAAAATATAATCCAGTTTATAGTTGCGAGGTAAACAAAGTTGCACAATCGTAGTGACATGAGAATGCTCTTGGCTCCTTTTTGCAAAATGCAATTCATTTTATTAGCAGCTTAATTTGATATTTCAGCAAGTTTTTAGAGAAAACATTCGTGATTTTATCAACGAATGCATGTTCTGTGGGATTAAATTTGACATCATTCAAATTTTTGCACAGCATTCTTCTCAGAGCCGAGCAATGTATCGGTTAAGTAGCTCATTGAATGGGGACATTGCCGCGTATTGAGGCGAAACACTCATGAGCAATAACAGTGATTTTCCTATGCTATCAATGATAATGCATTGATTATTCTTTCAAAGACATCAGATACTTTTCCGTGGCATAATTTTGAGTTAATCTACAAAAAAAAAAAAAAAAAAAAAAAAAAAAAAAAAAACGCTGCGATGCGTTTAAATTCTTTACTGCACCAAGTACCTCTGTTTAAATTGGTGAGCTTCATAAGAGCTGGCGCGAGGAGCAATGAAAATAAATTGAACATAGCCGGGGGAAAATAAGTTTACGCGAGAAAATGAAGATAATCTGCTTAAACTTCCCTCGCATAGCGATAACAATAAAAGATTAGAATGCGAATCGACGTGTGGGAAAAAATTCAATCCAATCAAACTATCTGAACACGGTTTCATGCATTCAAACAACTGCTCCCGTAACGAGTCTTCTACTTCTCTTGAGAAATTTAAAAAGAAGGGTGGAAAATAAAATTTAAACTTTCCTTCCGCCCGACCAATGAAACTGCGCCTTCGTTCGAATAATAATGATGCGTTCGAATTTGCATACCAATTAAATAAGAAGAAGCGGGTCAGAAAAATGGAAATGGATGTTTCTTTGCCTCTATTTGCAGTCTGATTATGTTTTTATCAAGGGAAACAATAATAACGATGGAAATATCTTAACCATATAGTTCAGTCTTTGTTTTCATTGTTCGATATTCTCTTTAATTATTTATGTGTGACATTTTAAAGCAATGATCAAGAAAAATCCAAAGTTCAGCGTATAAACATTATATTTTATTGTTGGAGTACCAGGACCCTGGAAGAATCGATACATCTCCATGAGTTTAAATGGATGAAAGCCATGTTGCCAATTTGCTGGATCCGCCAATGTTCTTTATAGATTTCAATAGGATGGGGTTTCTATAGTTGTTGAAAAATCGTCTCGTCGTCGTGTTGAAATGTGCGGTAGGCCCTTTGAATTTGCTGACGTTTCGGAGCGAAGGACTTATTTGAGCATCACCAAACAATAAGCTAACATCTCAGGCACCCGAGTGCCAGATGAGGAAGCGATTCTATGTTCCTTCGAATATTTTATCTATTAAATGTAATGGAATCATAATAATTACCCAGAAGTTAAGTCAGATGAGCTCGGATTTTGGTAAATTGCTCATTTAAACCGTTCTTTAGTCCGGAAGTATTTCCACAGAAATGGACCTGCGGGCTGATTATTGAAATTGATAGACAAAGCAATAGACAAAGAAGACATAAGGAGTATAAAGCACTTCTATTGGTTGAAATAGGTGGTTCCTATAGACTAAGGGAGAAAATGATGGACTAACTATTGAGTCTCTTGTGGGTTGCCGTCAGTGTTAGTCTATCACCTAGTCATTTGTCCATTGCAACCACTCGCCTCCACCAATAGGATCCCTCAATATCTCTTTTGTTTCCTTTGTCTATTGCTTTGTCTATCAATTTCAATAACCACCCCGCTGAACCATTCGAAGTATACGATAGGTCGCGATATTTTTGCTAGGATCAAACGGGTGAACCATTGATCTTTGGCGTAGTAAATTGATTGGAAGAAGCGATCATTCATACGCATTGAATCACTTTAAATTACCACCGATCATCGAGGTTTCAATTCCACAATGATTGTAGTTTCTCAAAATTTTAAAATAGCCGTTATCCCCCCATGACGTCCCCCAAGAATTGACAGCCAACCAGTAAGGCAAGCCATTCTCGGTGCCCCAGCCAATTATGCGGGCCGCGTGTCCGCCTATCTTACGACCCTCCGTGTGCACGTAGACACCTGAAAAGAAGAAGACAGATTCTAGCGTTTGAACCAGTGTTCGAAACACATCTTTGCGTTTTAGGAGCCATGTGGCGCATCAAATCCGATTTTTAGGCGCCATTGAGAATTTTTTAGGGGCCAAATTGACTTTTTGCCTATATATTACGGCGAATTTAGTGAAAAGTTAGATGCAAGATGTTTTCGTAACAGAACTAGTAAGAAGCTGTAACTTGGGAAGACAAAAGCACTAAGGATGAAATCGTGAAGAAAAGAAAAAGCTTTCACTTGTAGTGCTGAAAATTTCAAATAGTTACCTAATATGAAAATTCAGATTTTTAGGGGTAAATTTTTAGGGGCCACATTGGCGCAGAGCCTTCATTTTGTAGGCGCCATAGCCGATTTTTTAGGCGCATTTGGCGCGTTAGCGCCTGTGAGTTTCGAACACTCGTTTGAACTGAAGGCCCTTCATTGGTGGATCCAGCAAATTGGCAACATTGTTTTCTCTTTTTTTAAAAATGATAATAAGTCGATTCCTGAAGAGGTCGCGCCTCCAGCAAGAATCGATTGCAGGTTTGAACTGAGGGAAGCCAGCGTTACTAACCTGATGGATCTGCCAGTGGTGAGGCGTTAATGATCGATTATCGATACTTATTTTCCCATTTGAAGCTACGGTAAAGAATCGATTGTTAAGACATTTATTGCGAACACCTTGGTTATCGATACTTTTCCATAGGTTTAAATGGCAAACCAATTGATGTATCGCAAAGCATGCCACGCCACTGAGATTCTGGGGTCAGGGTTCCTCACTTGACCGCAATCTAACCGAAGCCTCGAAATATGGACCACATTTTGCAGTAAGGAACCACTGTTTCTGGCTCATTTTAGAAACGGCATATGAGCCATTCGTTTCCCTATGCAGAAAGGTGCTTTTATGGTAAGGCCAGAGATAATGGTTCCTTTTTGCAAGATGCAGTCCATGTATGATTTTAGCCATATTGTGTGCAGTTTTCAATGTTTTATCATTTTCATAAACCATATAGGTGAGCATGGAGTCCAATATCATGGACGCGATGCTACATTACCAAACAATCTGTATTAATGAAATTTACTAACATTATCATACTGTTAAAAATTAGCCTAGGATATAATAAAATATCTTATGATCAAGTGATGAAACCATCACAGGTTAAAAAGTGGGGGACTTTTAGGGTTTAATATAATCGACCAAAAATCAGACAGTAAAGTAACAACTGAATGGGGGCAGGAGGCTGCTGTAAAGTACGAAAGATGACATCAAGAAAACTGGGGCGAATATGATTATGCACTGAAAAAAAAAGTATGCTGTTTTGGCACCAAGGATGTCAAAAATGTGTCTAGTGATCCCAAGATTCTCCCTTTACTGCCCTCGCAGTTGACTTTACATCCTATGAATGCAAATTCAACTGCGTGGGCCATCAAGGTAGCATCTTAGGATCACCAGACACATTTTTGACATCCTAGGTGCTAAAACAGCATACAATTTTTTTTAGTGTGGATATGGCTAAGGTCTCTTTTTTTCCCCAATACGCTAAATTAAGGATGCGTTATTGAAACCTTTTTCCATTGTAATATTTGAGCACGGAAAAACATTTACCTGATTTATAAGGTAGAAAGTCAGCGTAAAGAACAAAACTAGCCACTAAAGGTCCATTATGCATTATCTCCCATTGTATATATGAGACAACGCTGTCCATGTAGAAAGCATTAAATGCTGAAAAGGACGAAAAATTAGACTGATTATCGCAACGTGAAGGCCAAAACCTGGCTTTGATAAAAGGAGTAATTATTGATTGTTGGGATCTTTAGACAAGGTGTGAATTTAAGTATTTTGATACTTGTTTTTCTGCAAAATTTCACGTATTAATTAGTTATTAAAAATAAATCTTAACCAAGATATTACAGGTCTTCGGTGCGTACATTCAAACTTCCCGCTCGTAAAAAAAAAAAAAAAAGAACACCATCTACTTGAGACAAATCGCACACTAAATGTTTATCGTAGCAAACTTCGTGGTATGAAACAATGACATCTCGATTTCGGCATTTTGGCCCAACTGCAGCTCGTTATATACACTTTGAACAACTCAGTAGGGCGAAGAAGAAACAAGGCTTTATCATAAAATTCCTCACAAAACTATCGTAATCGTAGGGCGCACCTTGATTCATGTAGGCTTCAGTTTTCCTAATGAGCGGGAAAATTACACTTTTCGAGACAACTGACAAATAAAAATGTTAGTACTATTGTTAGGATCTAATTTCAGTAATTTCGCTGCCTGAATCGTGCTCTACAAGGAATTTTGAGGAGGAAACTCATATTCGAATGTTTCAACGCTTACCTTCTTTTCTTCTTTTTTTTTAACCAATTTCAAATAGCCTATCGGCTAATCTCAGGCTTATTACCCCATCCCCAAGTGCCCATTGCCTGAGACCATCAAACTCGGGTCTCCTGGCCGGGAATCGAACCCGAGACCTCTCGGTTAGGGCCAGCGCAGCACCACAACCGCTTCACCACGGAAGGCCAACCTTGCCCATTGATACATTGTAAGAAACTGGTATACAACTTAAACTACACTAAAAAAAATAATCAAAATCACAACTATACACCTGGCTGAATTTCTCGCCAGTTATTAGAGTAGTTTTACCAGAACGAGGTATGGTTGATCTAACCATACTTTCGGCTGACTCAACTCCTGGCTGGCGCAACTACTCTTATAACTGGCACCAAAATCAGCCAGGAGTATAGTTGAGATGGTTATACTTCTTTTTCGAGATACGTGTAAAGGCCTGAAAAACCTATCAATAAAATTGTCAAATATGATGAAAATACCACCAATCAGAATATTTTTTGAAGAGGAGGACTTACTTTTCCGTCTATCATGACTGTACCGAATACGGTAGTATGGATTGGTGCAGAAGAGTTTGCATTTTGGCGTTGCGGCTTCTTCTTCCTCGCATTCCGGCTGCCCAATACTGCCACAAGGCATAATTGAGTACGGCTGACATCCCTGAAAGTTTTAAAAATACACTTATGCACTGACGAAATGAAGATACAGTGAAAAATATTTGTGAAATAGTCCGACTAGAGTTTAAGTCTTTTTACGTAGAGGCAAAATATCAATGTGTCAGTTGCTCTGGGCACAGAATCGCGTTTCGTTGCTTGACTTTTGTAGATCATATGTAACGAATATGATCCCTCCAAACAGCAACTCTCTACATTGAATATAACCAAGATATCGCATCGAATTTTGAAAAAATTGGTTATGACGTCATCCACCGCGGTAGTGACACCCTTCGCTTCTTCCACCTTGCTTTCATTCGAGTTTCTTATAGATCGTATTCGATAGTGGTTCGATGTATAGTTTGGGTTAAAACAGTAAAACATAACCTTAAACAAAAAAGTAGGAAAAGCTGAAAATGAGGAAACTCCTAACAAATTTCACTTTTCATTACCATTTTATACTCATAAGAATCAAAAATCTATAACAAGAAACCCGTTCCTTCGGCTTACTCAATTGACTTTTGAGGCTATGATTGACATGTTGAACCTATTGATATCGATACAATCTCACCTGTTTGATGCATCGAATGCGATCTATAAACGACAGTTAAAAAAAACAATTAAGATCATATATGAATAACTATGAGGTACTCACATCGAAAGAACCATACTCTCCGCCTGATACCTCCCCATTTCTTGTAAAATGCTTCCAAGTTTTGTCAATAAAACCACCATTGCAGCCGCTACCGCAAGAAGTGCAACAGGCAATCAAGTCTTCGGCTGAGATATTTATTTGGTAAGGTGTTTGGATGCAGATTCGATCAGATAGCGCTGCAGCTGAAGTGACAGCCTGAACCAAAAATTAATCAAGATTATAGCTGTAACTTGACCTATCCTGCAAATATAGTGGCAGATTTATACACTGAGGGAAATTTTCGGCCGAAATTCAGGGACAGTCTAAGAATGTTATCACAAAATGTCGACGGAACCCTGGCGAAACAACACGAGGCCCCTAAATATTTTTGTTTCTATTTTATTGCGTTGAAGTACTTTCTTTGTTACAATGTAAAACCGTATCCGTAAAAATGAAACTGATCCAGAAACGGTCATTAAGATAGCCGTCAGGGGATACAAATTCAATCTTCTCCATCCTGTGTCACTTTTTCATAGGTATAACACTGTAAAAGTTCGGCATCGTAAAGTGTAGATGGTCGGCACGGATTTCTGGGAGAGATCGGGTCCTTGATAGTGTGCGTTTGATCGTGGAGGTCGAAAATAACATCGGGTTCGACGTGGTTTGATCGTGTTAAATGGATGACAAGCAAAGGCGGATCTAGCAATTTGGCAACACCGGATTTCCTCCATTTAAACCTATATTAAATAATCGATTCTTGTCGGAGCTTCTGACCCCTCCAAGAATCGATATATTTTCATACGTCTAAATGGAGAAAAACAACGTTGCCAATTTGCTGGATTCGCGAATAATGACAGGAGATTGGATTCCGCCTTGGAGGAGACAAAGAAGACGCCCAGTGAAAGGGTGGCGATAGGGGGTTGTAAATAAAATGAGAGAGTGCCAACTCCTTGAGGGGTTGTGGCAGGACCGAGTACTGTGGCGGTTAATCGTCGCTGAGCGCCAGAGAGCGCTGTGAAGGCGACTATTATGTATGTATAAAACGGTAGAAGTTTTCCAAAATACCTTTTAAAACACCAACGGAAAACTTACCCAACATGAGCCGCAGTTGGATTGATCTCTGACTGACGATAAAGACAAACAACGAGAATATTGCTGACGAGCGTCGAAAAAATGAGGAAGGTTTAATAAACCTGTTAAATTGGAAAAAGCCTCGTGGCTTTTTTTGGGAAGGTCAGGTTTATTCAAAATAGTGCTTCCGTACCGCTTCAATTCGCGCATCGATAGAGGTCTCCCAAAATTGTCACCAGCCTGTTTAAATAAAGAAGAAACCCTGTTTGAATAAAATCAGAAAACTAAGAAAAACCCGTTCTCAAAATTCAAAATATAAAGAAGAATAATTGGTACATTTCGCGACGAAAAACTACAATATCTAGCATAGGTATCCATTAAAACGTGAATGTGCAAAGGGAAACTAATGATACATACATTGTTTTTAATCTGAGCCAGAAATTATAGTTCATAATTGCAAAATATAGTCCAATCATAAGGGCTCTTGCGATGAGTTGATTCTTTGGGAGCAATAAGACGGTATTTTCTGAACGAAGTGTTTTTTTTTTCTGAATCATTTTAAGGAAAGGATAAGGTTCTTCAAATTCATATAAAAAGAGTACATCTAGTTCCTTTAAAATGTAGCATTAATAAGCTTTATTACATTATATGTAAATTACGAAAGTTTCTTCACACGGGTCATCCATCCAGGCCACAGAATATGCCAGCGCTCTTAAATATGCTCTTGAATTTAATTTTGGGTTTAAAAATACTAAAAACTAAACATTAGTCTAATTTCACTGTGCAACAAAAAAAATGACAAAAATGTCTCCCGGACGAGATAAGGTGATCTTTATGTATTTTGAGGCGCTGAATCCGAATATGACCTCCGTTTTTTCCCATCACCCTCCAGTTTTCCGGAAAAGTTTATTTTACCCGGAAAAATGGCCATTTTCGGGCATTTTTGGTGTTTTTGCGACTGTTACCCCCTGCAGAATGTAGGTAAAATTTTTCTCCGGTACGAGAAACGGCTATTCCGATGTATTTTGAACCGCTGAGTCCGAAAATGACCTTCATTTTTCCCTGTCACCTCTCAGTTTTCCGGAAAAGCGACTTTTCCCCCGGAAAATGAGCAAATTTGAAGTATATTTGTCATGCATGCAATTTCTTTTTATAAATTTTTCTGGACCCGTGGTACTGTCATTCTTATGTATTTTAAGCCGCTGAATCCGAATATAACCTCGGTTTTTTTCCATCACCCCCCAATTTTCCGGTAAAGTCGATTTTTCCGAGCCTAAATTTGTGCATAAGCTTTCCCGGACTCAAAGGGGATCAAAAATATATTTTAAACGTGTCCGCGACGTGCGATACATCGATTCTTATATATTTTGACTTGCTGAACCCGAATATGATCTTGGATTTTTCCGATCACCCACGATTTTCCCGGAAAATCTATTTTGCTTGGAAAAATACCTTTTTAGGTGTTTTTGGACGATTTTCCTGTTGTGAGGAGTCTAAGAAATTTTCTGAGATCCTCTGTAGGTCTCTTCGGCTATATTAAGAGCAGCTGAATCCAAATTCGACCTCTATTCATCTCTGATAACCCCCCGTTTTCTAGAGAGTCCGATTTTTCCGGGAAAAAAGCTTTTCCAAACCGTCCCCACCTCCAGGGAAATTTGAAAATTTTTCCGCATGTGTGATACATCGATTCTTATGTAATTTGAGCTGAAAAACCCGAATATGACCTCAGAAATTCGTTATCACCCACCATTTTTACGGAAAACTCGATTTTCTGGGAAAATTTCGGAAATATACCAAAAAACACGTTCTCCAAGAAAAATCTACTTTTCCGACAAAATGGAGGGTGATGGGAAAAATTTGAGGTCATATTCTGATTCAGCATTTGAAACTATATAGGAATCTTGCCTTCACGGATCCAGGATAATTAATGAAATAAGAATTGCATGCCAGACTAAAATAAGTCAATTTCACTCAGTCTCCCGGCAAAAAGTGTCTTTTTTACATAACTGAGGGCTCATAGAAAAAAAATTGAGCCCATTTCCGTACTCAGGGACTCACAATGACTAATGCAAAATCTAATATGTAGCTAAGAACAATCTTACACACATTCCCATAGGAGTGACAGTCGCAAAAACACCGTAAATGGTCAAAAATACCCATTTTTTCCAAAAAATCGAGTTTTCCGTAAAAATGGTGGGTGATAACGAATTTCTGAGGTCATATTCGGGTTTTTCAGCTCAAATTACATAAGAATCGATGTATCACACATGCGGAAAAATTTTCAAATTTCCCTGGAGGTGGGGACGGTTTGGAAAAGCTTTTTTCCCGGAAAAATCGGACTCTCTAGAAAACGGGGGGTTATCAGAGATGAATAGAGGTCGAATTTGGATTCAGCTGCTCTTAATATAGCCGAAGAGACCTACAGAGGATCTCAGAAAATTTCTTAGACTCCTCACAACAGGAAAATCGTCCAAAAACACCTAAAAAGGTATTTTTCCAAGCAAAATAGATTTTCCGGGAAAATCGTGGGTGATCGGAAAAATCCAAGATCATATTCGGGTTCAGCAAGTCAAAATATATAAGAATCGATGTATCGCACGTCGCGGACACGTTTAAAATATATTTTTGATCCCCTTTGAGTCCGGGAAAGCTTATGCACAAATTTAGGCTCGGAAAAATCGACTTTACCGGAAAATTGGGGGGTGATGGAAAAAAACCGAGGTTATATTCGGATTCAGCGGCTTAAAATACATAAGAATGACAGTACCACGGGTCCAGAAAAATTTATAAAAAGAAATTGCATGCATGACAAATATACTTCAAATTTGCTCATTTTCCGGGGGAAAAGTCGCTTTTCCGGAAAACTGAGAGGTGACAGGGAAAAATGAAGGTCATTTTCGGACTCAGCGGTTCAAAATACATCGGAATAGCCGTTTCTCGTACCGGAGAAAAATTTTACCTACATTCTGCAGGGGGTAACAGTCGCAAAAACACCAAAAATGCCCGAAAATGGCCATTTTTCCGGGTAAAATAAACTTTTCCGGAAAACTGGAGGGTGATGGGAAAAAACGGAGGTCATATTCGGATTCAGCGCCTCAAAATACATATAGATCACCTTATCTCGTCCGGGAGACATTTTTGTCATTTTTTTTTGTTGCACAGTGTTTTTTAAAATCCCCGCAATTCCAACCTCTTTTTAATTTCATTTTTTTGTGAACGAAAATAGATAAACCCCATGAAAGTATCCTCGTAAATTAAATGTGCGTCTTTTGGTTCTGAACCGTCGCCGCAATTTGATAAAACAAAAAAAAATCATTTAAAGAATCTTTTAAACTTCTTAAACACCTTAAAACGGCTGAATCTTTTCGAAATTAATATACTACGTCACTAAAAAGAGCAGATGTAGAATTGTTTTATTCTGCATTATCTGCATTCGATGCAAAAATTGCGTACTCACGATCCATTTATTTTGCTTAGCGTTGATTTCGTCGGCGAACAGTTTCTGGTCAATAATTCCAAGATTAGGATCAAATCCTCGCAATGATCCATCGGCGAACGAACTGACAGCCAAGACTAATAAGAGAACATCTCTGAGAAAATAATCAGCATTAATTAATATTAGATTATATCTTATGAACTTCAGCAGAGTTTCGAAGCAACGATGGAACACGAGTTTCTTATCGTGAGTGTAAACATAATTTATTATCCTTAAGATGTTTACCTTGAATTAATAACAAATACAAATGAGAAAATTAAAGTTTCCTAATAAAATGCTAACCAAAATAAGTTATGAAATAATGATAAGAATTAGAAAGCGTAGAATATCTGTGCATTTCAAAAGGAATGGAAACTGTACCCACCAATCAGTGAATAAAATTGAAATTCAGAGAATTTATATCATTGGAAACTGAAAATAATATACCCATTTTACATTTCTTTTAAACATCAAATCGTATTTTTCGCTTTAGTCCATGTAATTTATGTTTCATCCTCAATGGCCCCTAAAATTGTGGTACTACTTTCCCAATTTTTTGATGGTATGGACGTTTCCCATTGAGTGTTGTAGTGCTACAACATTTGGGTCAGTAACCTAATTTATTAGGGTACTACCACGATTACTTGCGGAATTGTTCTTATCATCCAACCACCCAATGGATTTTTTTGTTGAACATCGGTTGAATTTGAGGTTTGCTTATAACGGACGACCCACTGATGATAATAAAAGGTATTTCGGGACTTACATGATTGATATTTTTTCACCTATATTCATTATCACGGTCTTAAAAGGACGGCGTGCTGCAAATTTTAACTTCGAAACGATGAAATATGGTTGGAAACTAACGATTCGAATGAAAACACGAAATTGAGCGCTGGCAGCAAGGAATTTATTTTTAATCTAAATCCGTATGCACTCGTCATTGAGTGTAAATTTACGACCTTTCTCGTGGGAAATATACTTGAGAAACGGATGTTGTTCTAGATAAACCGTTCAACCGAGTACTACGTATTTTAAGCTACTACAATTGAGCACACATGTGGAGAGAGTCATCATAATGAGACACGATCACTTCCGTAATAGTGACGTGTCGGGGAAAAAAATGAAAAATAAAGCTTTCAGTTCATTATGCTGTAGTATACGAATTTTTTGTAGCAACAAAAAAGTACAAGCAAAACATCCTGGTGTCTACGACCATTCTCAGTCGTTGTCTAAAGGTCAAAAAGAGTACAATGCAGAGTTCTGTAAAAGTATGGAGCTATTAAACATTATGTTTTTATGAACTATTTGGGGGGGGGGGGCTGAAAAATGTTCATAAGAACATGGTGGCATGGTCGTTTCATTACATTTTGTCAACGATTTTTTGTCCGCACACCTTTTTTGTCCTGTAGTTTACGCCCACACGTAAAATGAGCAACAGTGACTTGGTCCAAGCGTTATATTTTAGTCCGTATGTAAAATTATATTGCCAATATGGAAATGAGAAATTGAGAGAGAAGAAGGTGTTGATATAGTTGCTCATTTTCGAACTGAAATATTATTACTTTCTCCTTTTGGATCATCTTTTTAAATTGTCATTGGTGAATATTTGGTTTTAATTCTATCCTTAAAATATTCGATGTACAATATACCTTATATATGTATAGTACTTTTTTTCCTTTTTTTAATTTTTTCTTTACGAAATTATTACTTCATTTTAAAAACATTTATATTTTTAAAACGGGACAAATATTTGTAAAACCTTTTCCAAGCGACATTAATCTCAGTGAGCCGCAGTTGTGCCGACAGAAGCTGGAAAAATCAATAAAATAGGGGAAAAAACCAAGAAGCGCACAATCTTTAGTTTTAACCCATTTGCACATATCGATCATTTAGAGTCAAATACGTCAAATTTTGAGCGTTTGGTTGCGCGTGCACCTCGCTGCAGAACAATAAAAAGCACAAAATGTAAAAGAAAAAATTAAAGCGTTTTGGAAATCATTAAATTTGATAAGGAACCACCAATATTTAAAAAACACACATTATATCATTATTCTCCTTTGATGAATTGATACATATGTTTTCCCATCAATTTAATGAGAATAATCAATGCAGAGTGTGCAAACATTTCAAAATCATGAGTTAAAAAACGCTGACTATGCGAGTATAAATATTAAAGCCTAACAGAGCGGAGCGGCGCGGCGTGCACTGCTGCCAGCGCGAGAGGCTCACTGGCGCCTACAAACCTAAGTGGATACTTCACGCATTGCACAATGCCTGAAGTATCCACTTAGGTTTGTAGGCGCCAATGCGCGTTTCGCGCTGACCGCCCGCCCGCCGTGCGGTGCCGCGTGAAGCAACTATTTCACAACAGAGGTGTTGCACAGTATTATACGAAATTGAACGTATTGAGAATGACAGGCATCCTTTAAAAGTACAGATCTTTCCTCGCAAAATAAATCAAGATATTTATCGTACACAGAAAAAATCTAAGAGCCTTTAGCTGAGGCAAATATAAAGGTTTATCTGGTTCAGGTATAATAAGGTGGAAATGTCTTGAAAGTTAATTAAGTCCTGTTACACCAAAGAGGTGTACAGAGTTTTAGTGAATTTTTTCTCATGGAATTGACGCTCCCCCATTTTTACCAAAACTCTCAACTATCTATTATTCTCCGTTTGACCAAACAGACAAAACAAAAAAAAAACAAGCAAACCCTCATTCTACCAAGACATTATACATTTTCATCCAAAAACGTCGTGATTGTCGTTTGTATTGACATGTGGGATAGTTAACTTTGGGTCTCAACTGGCACGTGGACCAAAACTCCCGTGCCGAAAAAACGCGTGGACGTAAATTACTGGAAAAAACAGGTGCGCGGACAAAAAATCGTTGACGAAATGTCCTATAACCGGCATGGAAATTGCATATTGTACTATGGTGTGAATAGACTTCGCGTGCCTTAATGTGACATTACACTGGAAAGAAACAATTATCAAGATATTGAGACAATTTTGCTAAATTACTGGCCTTCACCGTAAATTTTGGACCAGATGCTGATCAATGATGCCCCTTAAACACATTTTAGCTTTTCCCCCCAGAGAATCTATTTCGCAAACTTTGAAATAGAACTGAAAGTATGAGAATGTGAAATATCAATATTTCATTCAAATCGCCAAATAGAACATCAAGATTCCGCGTTCGAATACTTTCAGCAATAATTCAGAGTTTAAGAACGATATTTTTTTTAGGGTGAACGGATAAAATGAGCCTCCAGGCGTATTTGATCCGTTTTGCCAAAAATGTTAAAGAAAATCAGAAAAACTAAATTAGCTCTACGTGCCAGTGTAAATTAATGTCAAGCAGTCATCGATTGAGATGGATTATCCGATGAGATTGGGCGCAACTGTGAGATACAATTCGTCATCCACAGGGAGATTGCAGGCCCAGCCTCTGTCATGCTTCACTTTCAGGAATTTTGATCGCTTTAAATACAAATTGCTCGGATAGAAACGTCCAGATGATTCAAATATCATTATAACTTCGGTAAAAGTTTGCAACAACTTCACTCTCACGAAGTTGAAGTGTCGAATGAAGATATCAGCAATGAAGCTGTTGCAAATTAACTGCAGCAAGAGGCCGTTTCCTCCGAAATGATGTTCAACTTTAACTCCATCAGTTGTATGCAACAGGCCGAAAGTTATGAGAACCCCTCTCCTAGCCGCAGCGTAGCCAAAACTCAAATTAAGTCTGTAAATGGACCAAATTTAGAAGCTAGAAAGTGAGCCACAGTAGCTATAGGCAAATTTAATGGAACAATTTAATTTTTTACATATGAAAACGTTTTTGCGGATTTGTGAGCGAATTTCAGTGAATTGTTTGCATGGTGCGATGCAAATTCCTTAAATTTTTCAAAGGAATCCGAACAAGCTCATCGTGTAAAAAATTAGATTTTTCAGTTAAATTTGGCAAAAGCTCATGTGGCTTGGTGCCTTCCTGCTAAACGCAATCCAAATACAATCTTCAAATGCGATTCAAATCCACAATTGGGACGAGTTGAACTCAAATCTCATGATGTTGGAGCCAGAAGAAATACGCTTGAAGTTTCATTCCTCTATGAAAGTAAAGGGATAGTGTTCAACTCTCATTTTCACATTCTAGATATGTTTCAGGGACGATTCTTTGTCAGAATAGCTAGTTTGTCATTTTTATTAGAGGCTTTGAGCAACTTACAATGAGGCTGCTTATGTCTTCATAGAAAATATATGAAGGGAGAGTACAAATGCAACAGCTCAGATTCTTAACTTCATGAAAGCAAGAAATTTCAACATTTTGCTTATAACGCTGAAATCATCGAAGGTTACTGGGTTTGTATCCCTGTTGACTGTTGGAGAGAAAGTCTGTGAGCGGAGGTCCCTTAGGGCAAAATAATACCGCAAGGAAGCCTATCTAAGGCTTTTGAGAGTTGGTGTGATCGTTGCTGAGAATCAAAAGTTGCACGAACCTATGATATGATATTTTCTGACTCCGTCGAGTTTCTGGACTGCAGAAATTTTCACGCCCGTTCCAGCATAGAAATCCTCTGATTTTGCTCAGCGGCATGGGATAGATAACGTTCCATGTTCCTTCATTGTGCGTGCATTGCACTGAAATCTCCGGCATTGTCTAAATAGTCGATTCTTAAACTTCCCTTCGCGTGACTAGCTTGCCATACACGTACAATTTTCAGGAGGACACATTAAACGTGGTGCCTTAATTGAAGGAATTTAAGTGAAATCAGCCTAACCACAACGGACGTTGCCTAATTTTCTCTTGATATTCATTTTTTCAACAGGAAACTGGACCAAAGTCTCGTTTGAAATATATACTGAAATATACTGGGTATATTCTTTGTAACCGAGGAGAAGCGTCATACCGTGTGCTTTCTGTTCAAAAAATTTACCTTGAAAGGAAATTAGGCAACATGGAATAAAATTAGACTTTTTTCAACTAGAAAAGATAGACTGATCTTGTATACTCTTTTAGTGGTCTTTCGCTTTTTAAGGTAGATAGGGACCGATATAAATTCGAGTCTTTCTTCATTTAGTAAATTCTACATTTTAGGAGTCTGGCCAGGGGCATAATTATTTGATTTCAAGATTTTCCAACCAGCAGACTGGAAAGTTATCCCATACAATTGTGGTACTACCCCACTTTGTTGGATGATATGAGAATTTTCAATTAATTGTGGTAGTACCACAACTTAAGTTGGGACATTATCGCAACATTTGGGCCAGTAACTTAATCTTTGTGGGTACTGTCAAAATTAATTGGGTTACTACGACAATTAGTTGAAAATGCTCCTATCATCAAACAACCCCTACCTCTTTTTCCCCGTGTAGAAACTTCCTCATAATACAGTTTGACAGAGTGGTCATAGTCAGAGAAGCTCACTTTGTGAACCGATCATTTGGTCATTGTCATCCGGAGACAAAGTACCTTGCCACAAGGCGTAAAGTCCCGTTCATACGGAACTTTACGAGTACAGAGTTTTCATACAGAGTTTTACATACAGAATTTTCATCGGTAGTCCAAACTTTAGCTCTGATACCCAAAGCCCTCGGTTTCTGAATCTTAAAATGCAAACTAAAAACTTCAGTTACCTGAACTGAAGTTCGGTTTCTGTGACTGAAAACTTAGGTTACCTGAACTAAAACTTTAGAATTCCATGGACCAAAACTTGTTTTCTCCGCATAAATGTATAAGTGATTTCTTCCTGTAGAAATTGCTCCCTTAATTCTCGTCTAGTATATAATTTTCCACGTAACATTTTGAAAAGAAAGCGTACAACACGGTGCTTTAATACGCAGTTTTTATCGTGCACCATTATGGTAACATCTCAATACTAGGAAATCACTAGAGACACGAAACGCTTATTTCAGAGCACATCAAAGGCCTCGCTCTGAACAATAGAGGGTTGCCAAAACCCCCCAAAATATCAATTTTACGTAACGTACACT